TTTTTTTTTTTTTTTTTTGCTATCGCTGAACGGAATATTTTTTCTTTTTGGAAAAGTCGTTTTTACAAAACGTCACGTAGCCGAGTTTTTTTTCGAAATTTGCTGAAATCATTCCAATTCACCTTCGATTTCATAATGTTGTGCACGAAATATAAATTAACGTTTACTGTTTCACGCCGTTTTGCAACAATGTTGACTTATCAGAAAGGTGAAAATATTGAAAAGATAAGGCCGAACAACGAGTGAAGATTACTTTTCATCGAAATTTGATCGAAATACGTTTTTGCTTGTATTTGTCAATTGCACGTATGCATACGTTAATATTGTGTGTGCATGCACGATCTCCGTCATGTTTGTTACGTTCACGTTTACAGTTTTTATTTTTTCATCACTTGTAACTCGCCAAACGTTCGCTCGAGAATATGAACATACGTCGTTGATAATTTGTTTAATCGCGTTGCAACGAAGAAAATGACTAATAAAATCTTCTTTGTTAGGAAAATTATTTTTATGTAACTCATATTTTTTTTTTTTTTTTTTTTTTTTTTTTGAATGAATATCTCGTTAAAAAAAATATTTATTTAGTGTCAAGCAAGATACATGTTCGTTAATATGTAATATGTCTACGTACATTTTTTTTTTAAATTAATAACAATATGCTCGTTTCTGTTTTTTTGAGCTATGTACTTCGTATAAATAATGTTTCAACTCATTGCTGTTACCTATAAATGCAGAGATAAGCATATGTAACCTTAGAAACTGTTAAGGTATCTGATTTTAAGGTTTCACAAGTGCTATAACATAACATATAATATTATTGCGATGTAAAAATATATGTAATTTTTTTTTTACATTTATGCGCGATGTTACGTAATATCTGTAAATAAATGCTGTGTATATTGATTTTCGGTATGATGTATAATTTTTAAAATCTTTGCTAATTTTTTTAATTCAAAGAACTTAATTTTTTATATGTTGAATATAAATATATGATAAAAGTATATTTTTTCTATATTTAAGTAAATATAAATAAAATTTTAAATTTATTTTACACTTTAACTTTTATTAATCAATTGTATATATTTATATACGTTATATATATATACACACACATACACACACACACTAATAAATTGTATTAATAATTAGGAATCACGAGAATTAAGAGAACCAGCCCATCATGCAAGGAGACCAATGAATGCTTTTCTTATTTTTTGTAAACGACACCGTGGTTCAGTGCGATCTGGTTTCCCACATTTGGAAAATCGAGCAGTTACTAGGGTTCTTGGAGAATGGTGGGCCACCCTTCATCCAGATCAGAAACGTTCTTATACAAACTTAGCACAGGAGGTAACTTGCATAATAAGAAAGTTAAATGTCATGCTAGTAATTATATGTTGATGTAATTTGATGTAGTCTGTTGTGAATCTTACAAAGTCAGTAATATTTATAGTTTTATATTCATTTTTATTAAAACGTAAGTGTATGTCAAATAACTATAATTTCATTTAAAATTTTTCAGTACAAAGATGCATTCTTAAATGCAAATCCTGACTTTAAATGGTACAAATTGCCAGCACCTCCTTTACGTACTTTGAATACTAGGCCTACAAACAAAAAGGCAGAAACAAATCCTAATGAGCAACTAGCAGAAAATGTAAAATCTGAGAACAAGTCTTCCGATTATTCAAAATCTGACAAGCGAGATGGACAATCAATTCAACCAGGAAAATTAGCTGATGAATCCCAAATTGGTGGCCTCAGTTCATTATTCACACCTCAGAAAACACAAGCAACAGATGAACAAGTGACTGTTAATGATTCTGTGATTGAAAATGATACTGAAGTTCCAAAACCTCCTAAGAAACGATATTTAGAAGTACCTTTTTCACCTGATAATAAGAGAGAATGCAAAGCTGATCTTTTTGATGCAAAAAAGAGAAGAAAATCTGAATCAAATAATAATGTGCATCAATGTGTAAGCAATCTTTTTAATCAGGTTTTTTAGTTTTAAATAATCGAATGCTTATTCTGTCTCTTAAAATCTCATATGCCTAATATTAATATTAATATTAAGAATTATGTTTAGGACACAGAAGATGAGAAAATAGAAATAAATAATTTTATAACTACAAACATGCCTTCAGAAGAAAGTAATTTTAGAAGTGAACGAACATGCAAAGGTTTGCGTTATCAAAAGTTCCTTGCTGAACAAATGAAAAATGTTGGTGTATCAGGACAGCAGCCTAAGAGAAGAAGACAAACTGGAAATCGTAGGTAAATAATTAGAGCATTCATATTGTATGCAGTATGCAATATGATTTATTAAAAATCTAATACATTTTGATCGATATTTTCATCAGCAATGATGGTCAAGTAAACGAAAGAAGAAATTCTATTTCTTCAAATGTTAGTGAGAAAACAGATTCCTTAAGTAGTGAAGGTGGAAATAGCTCTCGCGGTGAATTAGAGCATCTTGTTGAAAGGTAATTAAATTTTGTTTATCATTTGTATATTTCTGTTATATATATACAGGCAAAAAGAAATAATCAAGTATTGTTTAAAGTGCTGAGGGAAATATAGAAGCGTCAAAGCCAGAAGAGACAGAAACTGAAGGCACAGAAGGACAAGTTGATTTTGGACCATGGACTGCAAGAAAAAGGTTTCGAGCTGAGTAAGTTTAATATTATTTTATAACATTATGCATTAAGATATTGTGTAATGTATTATTTTCATTTTCTTATGTAGGGATTTTAATTTAGAAAAGAAAATTGAAGCCTTACCATCTTTAAGTTTAGAAGAATTTCAGGAAAAGAAGAAACAACAACGTACGAAAAAGAAAAAGATTGTACAAAAATTAACATCAACTACGAATAACAAAAGGCATCAGAATAATTTTGATACCAATGATCAAGTAAACAATCAAAACAATGCAAAAATATCTCAAACAGAACGTGAAAATTCAGAAGATGCTGAGAAACTTCTAGTTGGAAGTCAAAAAAGGAAAGCACGAAAACAGAGCATTACACGCAACGCGGCAGCTATAAACGATTCAAAGCAAGTTGAAATTGAGGAACCCAACAAACGTAAGCATAGACTAGTTTCAGTTTTTAGCATTTGGTACGAATATGAAAACAATATTTCTCGTGAATTTTTCAGATTGGAACAACGTTCAGATTGGAACGTTATTATTTTTATAAAAGAAAAACTTATAAAAATTATCTTAATTGTGATTTAAATTATCTATGTTTTCATCAGAAAAGGAGTGAAAGTCTACATTAAGAAAAAGAGTTCAATTAACTAAAGCATCAGTTTATATCATATGATGCATGAGTTAAAAAATTTTACGTTCCAATCTGTGAAATTTCATACATACTGAAGTACAATTGTAAATAATTTTTATTTAAAAGAAAATATTTAGAATGATTAAATTAGGAGATATTATGTTCTGTCTTTATTATTACAAGTATAATATAAGCTTAAATTATTTATTAATATCAAATTAACTAATTGTGTAAATATTAATAGCGTGGTGTGCATCGCCGGACTTAGAAGCACTGGCATGTCTTGCAGCAGTTGCCGCCAACAGAACAAAACTTACCAAAAATAATACATAAGAAATATTTTTCATATTTAACAGTCATTTATGACGTAAACTTGTATTAAGTAAACCAAAATCTCTTATTCATTTATTTCTTAATACAATTTCTTATTAGCTGAATTTATTGAAATATAATTACTTTGATTGCTGTTAAAAAAAAAAGAATTAATAACGTTTCCAATTTATCAGAAATATACTACGTTATTATTGTTAATATCTATGTCGTTAATCGCTGTTAATATGAATATTAATACTGTGACTGCTATAATTATTTTGTCAGTCAACATGTAAAAATATTTCTTTTATGTTGCATAAATGTCCCACAAATGTGGTTTATGGAATATAGTTTCTTGTATAGTTTGTTAATGAATAATCTTGTTACTATTACATATTGAAGAAAGATTCTAGTTTTCACTTTGCGTTGCGTGTAATTATTAAAATATTACGTTAAGCATACTTGTTAATAAATACCTGCAGTGCAGATGATAGCCATTCTACCTAACTTGAAACAAAAAATGCCCGCATATTGATATCCATTGGGAAATTTGTGCAACCTCCAACAAAGGATGAGTCATAGTCATATAGGACCTGATTAGGTAAATATTCAGTGAAGGAAAGGAAAGGTGCATGGAATAAAAAGAATGTTAGTAAGAGTGTATTATGTGACGATATTGGTAAAGCAAGGATTTGTGATCTTGCAAAATAATTTTTCTATTGTAAAATATCATAAATACGATCAGGAAGGAACAGCAACAAAATCGTGAACCTTAACGAAGCCGATGAGCAGGGCATTTTATCATATCTATGTGTAGTAACTATAACACGTAATAACTGCAAAGTCACTGTTTTTCGGTTACTATTTTTGTTATTACCATCGGCGTACATTTTATCTATATTTCATTATGTTCTGTAAACATTTTATGTACATAGAAATAGGTGCAGTATTATGGAAGATATCCTTCATGATCTGAATATCAAAAAAGGATATAATCAAAATATATATGTATAAATATATATATATATATATATACATACGCAATATGCATGTACACATGAAAGACCACTGTTTATATGCTATACGTGCGTACATGTAAATATACATAATAAATGTCACGTACAAGTTAAAATGTAAATTTTATTATTAGTAAATGTTCTGATATCAGAAAGCGTATGTATACATGTATATATATAATTTGACAAGACTACGTATATATATATATATGAATGTATATTTATAATATTTATATAACTATTAATCTAGAATTAAGACCTTGAAAATGCGATTCTGTGCTCTGTTTGAGAAAGTAAGGGAATTGTCTGTGATTTTGGCTAAAGGAGTTTTTAATGTTTTATATTTTTCTATTGATTTTCTCTCGTTTTTCTTTCTCACTTTTTTAATTTCATTAAAGTCTAACTCCAGACACTATTAGTGAACTGATAGGAACAATTAATGTTAGTAAATTCCTCTGTAATATGGAAATGAGTATACTGATTATATTTCAAATGTGCCTTGAAGAGATATGAACATAGATATTAAACAATGACCAACAATATATTTTCGATTCGTTTCGTAATTCGAAATGTTTTTGGCTTTTATATTCATACCTTCCACATTTTCTAATTGTGGTTACGGTACATAATTATTGCGAGGCTTTTACGGCCAACGTCCGAATATTTGGAATTATAAAAGAAAAAATTATGGGAAAGTGTTTCGAATTTTACTGCACAAACATCTATGTACCTAGCTTTAAAAATATAATTTACACAAACATATATTATATACTTGTAACATATTGTATACCGTTTATATGAATAATAAAGATATAATATTTTGATGTAATCGCTCGAAATTATTTACAACATATTTTAAACAAAAAGTGGAATAAAAATTCTTATTCTAAAATGACTTATTATGATTTTATTAAATATATATATGTATATATTTATTTATTTAAAAGAAAAATAAGACCATTAAAAAATTTTTATTCAAAATATATTTTAAAATTAACTTTTTCTTATTTTTTAATAAACAAAAATTTATCAACTTGTTTAAAGTACATTTATTTAAAAGTAATTTTCAATCAATATATTGTCAACAGTATGTATTTTAGGCACAGATCTAACATACTTTATATCTTACTTTATCACTTATATCATACTTTATACCACATTACTACAGTGAAGTAATGAAATTAAATAAATATTTTAGTAATGTATATTTGCGTTATTTTCGTCATTTTCCAAAAATATATTATGATGCTTATATTTTATTTAATTTGCTCGTGTATATAAATATATATGCATGTTTCATTTTATAACTATAAATTTTAATGTTAAAATTACAGACTTGTTTTATTCAGTATCTTATTGATACTTTATTTTACATAAAATTTATATTTTTTTTACTTAATGTATTACTAATAATATATATATGTATATAACAGTATATATATTAATGTTACATATGTATGTAACCATCGAATAATATTACATAAAAATTATTTCATTATTATGGAAACATATTTCAAAATTATTTATAGAAACTAAAATTAAGTCATACAAGCATACAAGTTTTTTTAAATTTCAATATAAAATTATCTAAATACTGTTTCTTATAATTTAAAAATTGCGACTTGTATAATAAATGTTCGACTTTCAGATAATTATTATTTTATTAAATTACTTATACCTGTAATGATGAATGACAGCATATATTAATAACAATTAATTTGTAATTTAAATGCAAATCTTTTAAGAGTTAGTTACTAAGTTATCTCTAAAGTTAGTTAATTTATAATTTATACATATATGTGTGTGTGTGTGTGTATGTGTATATATATATATATATATATTTTCTTTTTTTTTCGTTAGCGTCGCTTTGATCGCAACGGGTTTAAAATTCTTACAGACGGTTGTATCATCTAGAAGTTCGAAATCTGTGAATTACGATGCAAGCTGCTTGACAAATTCAAACGTATCGTCGCGTAGCGTACGTATTGCACTGTAGTGACAGCTACGTCAAGTTACATGACTTGCTCATTTACAGAGTCAAAGCAGTTCGCTTGAATTTACCAGTTCATAATTGTACAGTAGTTATTTGGAAAGCGATTTACGATATTTCAGGATGGGAGTGATATTCTTGGAACACATCGGAGGTACTCGGTTGTTTTCTTGCGCTTCTTGTGACACCAATCTTACAAACAGAGGTCAGCTGATAAGCACGCGTTTTACGGGCGCCACAGGCCGTGCTTTTCTATTTAACAAAGTCGTCAACTTGAATTACAGGTATTCGCGTTTTTCCTTTGTCCCTTTAAATAAGCTAATGTTAATCGAAATACAATAAGTAACATGCAATAAGTTTACGTTTATCTTTCTATTGTTCGAAAATTCTCGCGTTTGATGTACAAAGACAACTGTGTAAGGTGGAATGCTTACATTCATGTGCCTAAGAAACTGCAGAAAAGGATAAATTGAATTGAAATGAAAATTTCGAATTAACATTTAAAGAAAATTGTGTATGGATAAACTCGAGAGAAGAAAATTAGGACTGTTTGTAAAATAAATTACAAAGAAACAATATGGCGTCGTTTTTGTTTTGATAAATTTCATTGCTTCATTTGTGTGTGTATCGTGTCTTGTTAGAGATTGTTAATACAGTTTGAAGCAATTTTAATATTTTAAAGGAACTTGGCAGCTTCAAAAATAATTTCATTGTTTTATTAATGATTTAAACATTTGTGAATCTTACAATTCATTCTGCATTGATTATATCATTCTTAGGTACATGGTTTTCCTGTTTATGCATATGTAGTTTCTTAACATTATTTAGCACACAGGATACCATTCGTAACTGTACAAAATCTCAGAGAAATTGTACTAACGGAATAATCTACTATAGTTTTTGCTTATTCATAATTTAATTTGTCTACAATGATACACAGCGAGGTACAGGATAGAGTGATGTTGACGGGTCGTCACATGGTCCGAGATGTCAGCTGCAAAAACTGTGATGCTAAGCTTGGGTGGGTGTATGAATTTGCCACAGACGATAATCAACGATACAAAGAAGGCCGTGTCATCCTGGAACGTGCTTTGGTCACAGAAAGTGATGGAATGGGGGACAATATTTAATAGTGTACAACAAGTAGCACATCATAGGATAAGAATATTTTATAGACAGTGTAAAATCAGTTGTTCTTCTTCTCAGTGTTCCTTCATCATTTGGAGTAATCAAAAAAGAAAAAAAAAGAGAAATTGTATGAATGTATGTTAATTTATATTTAATATCCAATATTTTTGTAAACATGAAACATACTTTATTTTATGCTATTACATATTTCTAATGATCTGCATTATTTTTTTAAAATTATTTTTCATTTGAACATGTATATTATGTTAAGTCTGACTTAAAATAAAGAATCAGTTTATTACTGTGTTTGTATTTTTCAATATTACAATGTTACTTTTTTATATTAGTTTTTATTGTACAGAAAGGATATAAATTGTAATGTACAAATAAATATATTAATTAAATTAATAAATTTCATATAAATTGTGATATAAATTGTAATGTACAAATAAATATATTAATTAAATTAATAAATTTCATTGGATTTTTTGTAAATAACAGTTCAGTTATATTTTTATATTTTATGTTGTTATATTTTTATGTTGTTAGGATTAATAATCCTTTATATATATATTCTTTAATGATTTTTTATATATACTTTTTCTTGTTAAGGCATGAACTATTTTAAAGAAAATAAATGTTTTTCGAAAGATCAACTCGATCCAATTCCGTCCATAAAATTACAAGTTATTTTACGATCCAACAACCTCTACAAACATCCGCCAAAGATAGTAATAATGATCTTAATTGAATTTTGAATGTGTGCTAAAAAGTCAAACAAAATCAACATATTTGAGACACAAATGAACCGCGCCCCAAGCTAGAACGCGATTGGTCGTCACTATTCGAGCGAGAGCCAATAGCAGTGGCGACGTTCTGTAATGAGTCGCGACGACGAACCAGTGTGGTCACGTAAGCCCACCATACCGCATGGTGGATACATGTTTCCTTTAACTCGACATCGTATAAAATGCTATAATTGTGTATTGTTGTTATTTTCCAAGGGGTACAACGATCTTGCGGAGCAGCCACATCCAGGCTTGGAAATACGGTAATTACACGAGCATACAACTACTATTATATAGTGGTAACTCGTTGACCGATTTGAGCGTACAATTTGTTGTTTGCTGTTCGGCTCAATGGCCGAGCACCAGTCGCACAGTAGCAATACATTTGTCGCGCGTTCGTAGAGTATATCTCTCTCGCGTATTTTGCGGCTGTTTCGACGATACGATCCGTGTTCCTTTTAGCGACTAATATTTTCGCGTAGACGAGCTTTTTTTTAATTCTCTTGTTTTTCTCTGTTCGTTCTTCGCCCTTTCCCCTCTACTATGTCCCACGCATACAGTGATACGCAGCGGTACCGACGATAGCGACCTGAAGAATTCCGTAAAGAAATACAAAATGAAATTCTTCCGCGGAACGTTCGGTTTCGTTGCACGGAGATTCCCGAGAATCATTGGCGAACCATTCACGGACCGTCGCATTATTTCTGTCCGTGGAAAGAAAATCGTATCTTATCAATCGGTGTTGGGGACACGTAAAGTCTCGCACACGGTGCCATTGCACCGCCGAATGGATCGTAACAGGAAAGCTATAAATACACACGCATCGCGGGGTAAACAAACTTGACCTCAGTGGAATTCTTATCGACGTGCCTACATGTCGATGCAGTGTACACAGATATTTTGAGGTTATGTCTGGCTCTGGAAGTTCGTTACATACGCCTGTATGTAAGACCGAGAAAAATCCAAGAAACTGAATATTAACTCCGGATTAATGAATTTTTTTTTTGCGACGAAAATCGGAACGATGTTTACGGTGTTATTTCATTGGAAAAAATTGTTATACTCAAGAGCGTATACTGAGTTGTGATAAATTATTGTTATTGTTTTTTTTTTCTAACGATACGTTACATGTTTGGATACTTTAGATAAATACGAACGAATTTGATGTACGAAACTAATATTGTTTAGTTTTACTTTGCCTAGACACTTTCACTGTTCTAGAAAGTTGATATGTTAATTTATGTTAAATATTAATTTTGTGATATCAACTTCTGAGATCCTCCAACTTTTGTTTATTATGATAATTTTTATAATTCCTAAAAATAATATTTTTCAAATAAGATAATATATTACTGATGTATTTTAATAAAATTTTTATTCAAATTTTTATGTATTACATACAAATATATTATATCTATAATCATTGCAGCATTGATATAATACTTTACAAGTCATTGAATTTAATGTTTTTAAAAAATTATCATATTGACATTACAATAATTTATTAATAAATTTCAAACTAATTACATTGTCCTTTATGAATTTTATAACTTTGTTTTCCATAGTTGGATATTCCTTCCTTTACAATTTTAGAATACTTTAGAATACTTTATTCACGAAAAATAAAACTTTAAGTAAATATATTGAATGTTAAAACTAAATATATAAAAATAATCAATATTTTATGGCAATATAAACAATGTCAAATTTCTGAATAATTGTGTTTCACATATAGTAAGTTTTTAAAATATATAAATGTCATTTGTTTAATACAGAGTATTAGTACATCCCTGGTTGCTGAAATATTGAGACATAATTGAATTATAATCTGCACAATTCAAAGAAAGAAAAAAAATTGGAGCTTTTAATATTTGCTCCTCAATATTAACTCGCTGTTAAAAATGAAGTGGTCACCCGGGGCTCTATTTTGTGAACAAGTTGGTGAACTCACTCGAGTTTTCTCACAATGGAATGAATGTGAGCAGACTGTGGTTTTATATGCACTACTTCGTCGCATTCCTGCAGTTCAAGCAAGATTTCTCGCACAAGCAGTGCAGCATTCCTTGCACTCTGTTTCTGAATTGGACTCACAGGAATTAAATGCCAATAATCCATGTAATGTTTTTATAATTAATACAAATAAACTTACTACATTTTCATGAATGTAAATAATATTTATCAATCAATCTTATTACAGCATTTATTAACTCATTGCTCTCAGAATCAACAGAAGTTGCTATAAATCAACTTCTAACACATTTGCCATTGTTAAAGCCTGGGAACATAGAGTGCAAACAATGCTACTTAGTGGCGATACCAGAATTAGTAAGCCACTGTGTAACTACAGGGCAATACACCGAACAAACTCAACAACTCTTAAGTTATTGTTTAATTCATCCAGCTATAACTAGTCAAGATAGACGTTCTTTGACTCAGTGGCTTCGACATCTTGAAGAACGTATCAGTGGTACACCACCAATACACAGTCTTGAGGAGTATACTAATACTACTATTAGGTGAGTTAGAAACAGTTGCGTAATTTATGCATTTACTATAATTATTAATTTCTTACTTTTATTTCAGGTGGGATAATACATGGCAGCGAAATTCTAAACAGCAAAGTGAACAGACAACTTTGTTTGGTACACAACCAGGTACTGCCTTCAATTTGCAATTTCCTCCACCTGTGACTCGTCAACGGCGATCAAACAGTTTAACACCACCCGTTGCTCCGCCTCATCATTTAGAAGTTGTTGACCGCACTAACAACGTAAATTGCACAACTAAACATAAGCCACGAAGCTTTAGCGTATCTGGTGATCATACAAGTTAGTTTAATTCAATGCTATCATGTAAACGAGCGAATGTTAATTATATTTCCATTTTATTTGAATAATTGTTGATTTCTAAACAGGCAATCTTATTGGATTAGGCCCATTGAGCCCTCAAAGTTCTTGCGCAAGTAGCGGCAGCGAAGGCCGTTTAGATGAAACGTCTAATCGGTCGCTTGCTAGTGGTATGAGAGGTACGTGTACATAATTTTATAAATTTACAATTTATCGATCAAGGAAAAGGTTCTTGACATGTTGTTTATCCTTCAGATGTTCCGTCATGGCTTAAAACTTTACGTCTTCACAAATATAGTTATCTATTTGTCACTCTCAGTTACGAAGAAATGCTTCAATTGACTGAGGAACAATTAGCAGAACAGGGTGTGACAAAAGGAGCCAGACATAAACTAGCCCTTTCTATTGCAAAATTACAGCAACGTTATACCACACTTTTAAACTTAGAGAAAGACTTGTTACAACCAACCCGCGATAATACACAATCGGCTTCGTTTTTACAAGGACCAACAGTACTGGTCAATACAATTGACGAATTGAAAACAATTTTAGCTACTCCTATGAAACCTAGCCAAGAGAATGATCCTCAAGACATACCTGCACAATTCACTAAAGTTCTTGGCAAATGTAAGTATTGCGTAATTATTAATGTAAAGATATGATATACACACGTAGCAATAAAAAAATTCAATCCTTAAATGCACAATTTTTTTCAAGTCATACATTTAAAATTAATGATACAGAACATTGCAAATTTTCAACAGTGTATATTTAAAAGTTAATACATATTGTGTTTGTTTGTTTTGTAGTGTGTAGTCGATTGGCACTGGATAGCGTGGACGACGGTATTTTGTGCGCTTGTATTAACATATTGGAGAAAGTATTGCAGCATGATTGTTTTACTCCAAATCAAAAGGAGAAGGTACAACAATGGCGCAGTAGACTTGGAAATCCACGACCAACTCCAAAGTAAGAATAAAAATAATGAGTATCATGCACTTTTCATTTGCAGTGTAATATCTGAACATGTGATTGTAATTTGGGCGGTTAAAATTTCAGATGGCAACACAATTACGGCTACAATAACAGAAGGTACTGTAACCCGCAGCAGCACAATAGAAAACCAAGTTTAAACTTAGGACACATTCATAATACACATTCGCAAAACAATTCTTTTGTGGTTAGCACTCATAGAAACAGTATATCTACACCATACTTACAAAATAATCAGAACCAAAGCGTAAATCAGAATACTTTGCGTCCAATTCATACGACCAAAAAACGACCTAGCTTACAAGAATCTAGTTTACAGGTGCGTATTTTGTTAAGTTGCCAATCGTGTATTTGAATATACATTTTGTTGCGTGAAAACTAATCTCTATTCACGTTTCAGCAATTGCAAAGAACGTTACAGCGTACATACAGTGCGCCGAGGGATCATTTTCTTAGCCCTGGTAGCAACAATGCGCCCGAGACAACGGAGCCAGAAATCAACTCTCGCCTCGAATCTCTTTGTTTAAGAATGACGGAACAAGCAATTGGTGGTTTCGGCGAGGCCTAATAAATTCTCCGTTTTATTCTTTGACTGGATCTACGCAGTAAGTCCTGTTAAGAAACAGAAAAAAAAAGAAAAAAAAAATTATAAAACGATATACGTGTTCGAGCTCCGTTCTTTCAAATTCGAAGGCAAGACTGATGTCCGTATATCTTGCGAGTATGAAGACACTCCGACAGCAACGATAGTGCTGACAAGTTGCACGTACGAATGTGCACACATTTTCACGCTTTAATAGCCCTACCAAATGAAATGTCCAACATTTGAGACATTACACAAAACAGAACTCAGTTTTGCGATGTCAGAGCGACGCGCGAAGGAAATTTAAAAAAAAAAAGATATTTTTTATTATATTGGATGCAATTGTACTATTTAATTGAAACTGACAGAATTTGGCAAGCCAAATGCTATTAGAAAGATAGATTCTTTCCTTGACTATTACTGCATCTATATAAATGTATTATATAAAGAATATATATGTATACACATATGATAGAATTTTATGGGAAGCGGATTAAAAAAGAAAAAAAAAAACGTATAACATATATTGAAAAATGAAAAAAAAAAAAAAAAAAAAAAAGAGGGACGAAAAAGGTACACCACATTAATTGTGCGATGTTTGCAATATTATTATTTTCGTGTGTTATCCATTTCGGGAAATGGAATTTGTCTGATTTTAAGCGCCAGGACACATTATATACTAATGTAATGTAATTCATTTTAACAAATTGACTGATTTTACTTCTTTTTAACATTTACTGCTAAGATAATTATCTCTCCATTCTCTCTTATCCACCGCCGCTATTGCTGCTCTTTACTTTATCTTCTATCGTTATCACTTATTATTATTATTCTGATCGATATCTTATTCGCCACACGGTCATTGTCATCAAGTTCATCACTGTCTTTACTGCTTGTCATATTATTATTATCATTATTATTATAGTTATTACACTTACATTTATTACTGTGTAAACTCTTATTATCATTGCTGTTAACAACTACTTCTCTGGGTGACTAACACCATTATTAATATGCTTTCATGCTGTTGCTATTTTTATCCTCCTATCGTTACGGCTATTTCTACTATCATCTATCAGCTATGCTATTACTATTATCACTCCTCTATTACAAGTAACCCCTCACAACTACTCTTACTCTTATGAGTACTGCTAATACTATTACTATACTCTCTCCACTATCGCTGTACTACATATTACTGTGTAATTCTCCTTAGAGAGAGAGAGAAAAAGGAAAAAAGGAAAATCATATTTAAAAGCAAGAAGATTTGACACACAATGCTACACAATGTTACACAATGTTACACGCGTTAAAATGGTGAAGAGATGGAGCGGCATCGCTACTGTACACGTTTTGAATTCGCCTTCGCCATCGCTGAACGTTGGAGGGGAAAGAAAAGAATGAAAAAAGACGATATGTAGCGGTGTGTATGCTTTGTAGTTTGCGCACAGATCTTGCGATTCTTTACGCTCTTGTATGACGAGGTAGAAGTAAAGAGGGAGAGAGAGAGAGAGAAAGAGAGAGTTACCACACGTGTCTCTTCTTTTGAAGTCGCGGTTGACAAATAGAAAAAAAAGATAAAAAAGAGTTGAGAGGAAGAGAGAGAGAGAGAAGAATCCAAGAGACATGGAAGAAGAAAGCGAGAAGGTTATTAATGAATAAATAAACGGATTTTCAAAGGCCTTAAAAAGGGTGTATGTCTCGTGCTATAACGAACGTTAAGAAGGGTACATAAGACTAAATAATTAAACATAACGCATATATAGCGAAACGCCGTCGAGGAATGTGAGAACCGACGAGAGGAGCTTGCATCATGCATTCGTGATGTGACATCGAAATCTGTGGCTTTAAATTATAAGCATACATCATACTACTCTATAAATATGCACTTATTAGCACTTTAAACGTAATTACGTCGCGAATGGGGAAAAAAAAAACCGTAGCATAATATTTTTCGTGCAACAAGAATGGAAAGGAGAAAGGAAAGAGAAAAAGATGAGAAGGATGACGATGACGATAATGAAGGAAGAAGAACGAGAGAAAGGCAAGGTTAAATTTAATAACTGAATATAATAGTATTAGCGACAAACTGATATAACGTATCGATATATAATACGTGAGACGAGCAAGCAAGTAAAAAGAAAAGAAAAAAAAAAGAAAAAAAAAGAAAAAAAAGGAAAAAAAAAGAAAAACAAATATATAAACGAAAGACTGAACAATTCACGCGCCGTGAGCCGTGCGGTGAGTTTCGGACGTTTTTGCATTCGTTTAATTCTCGAACGACAGCTGCACGGCCGCGTGAATGAAAACAATTGGAAGACTGCGGAAGGAAAAACCTGTCAAAATATTAAGAATTAGGGGGCGAAGCGTGAGAGACGAAGAGAAGAGTGAAAGAGAAAATTTGGATGAAAGTGCGGCTGGATGTATGTGCGCGTGC